AAATCACCAGCAGAGGAGAAATGCAGAACTGTCGAGAAAGCATCGAAGTCAGCTGAAACAACACAAACTGAATAAGAAGCAAATCCTGCACAAACGAGGCACAAATCAGAAGAAACACTACAGTGGCCAAAAATAGCCAGTTACAGCACTGCGGGGATCGAAGAGGGCGACTGGCTGAAGAAGAGGAAGAGGAAACCAGACGGGTTAAATCCAGGAGTGCAGTCTTTTGTTGTTAATTAACTAGGCCACTCAGAATGTTGTGAACTGCTTTGCAGCTCTTTCTTCTCTAAGTAGCCGAAGGAAGTAAATTCACGCTCCGTTCAGTACCAGTGTTTCAGGAAGTGAAACAGAATGTAGCGTCAGTTCACCTAGTGCGAGATAAGCTGCATCCAGATCTACTTATTCCAGACGTTTATGAAGAGAATGCTGCCGAGGTAACAGCTCTGGTAAAATATGTTTTGCTTCAATAATTCATTTGGATCGAGGTAATTCGCATCTTCACATGCGGAGAACACATGCATGCATACGCATTTCTCAGTTTTTTTCAAAAAGCCGACACAAATCAATAGCAGTGCACACCAGGATAGCCAACGCTACCATTTATTATTCATAATTCAGGCCAGCGGGCACTTGCTGTTAAGAATTTGGTATGCAGAAATAGTTGATATGTTGTCAGGCTCCTAAGCAGTTAAATTCCCACTGAGAATTTTCACGTACCGGCACGTGAAACCTAAGCGTGCATAGGGCTGAATTTATAACTCTTAGATTTCGTATGCATAGGGAGTATCTTTCCGAAATTTCAGTTAATTTTCTGGTTTCCAGTTAATGACTTTCGCGCCAAAGCTTTGACGTGGCTGTTCGTAAGGCCTAAGCATAAATGAGAGCTAGATTAGAGTCCCTGGAGGTACTACACAGGTAAAAACATTCTTCTGAAATCTCAACCTCTTAGCCCTTCTGGTTCCATAGTCAGCAAATTTTTTCCACCAAAACTCTTTCGGGGTCGTACACGAATCCGAGCCGTATGTAAAGGCTAAGTTTGAATTTGATGGATCAAGGAGTATCCCCGAAAGTTACAGCTTCTTAGCTTTACTGATTCTTGAGTTGAAAATGCGGACAAAACGCATTTGGATATATATATATATATACATATATATACATATATATATACGTATATACATATACATATATATACATACGTATATATATACATATATACACATATATATACATACATACGTGTATACATATATATATGTACATATATATACATATATATATATACGTATGTATATATACATATACCTATAAACAGGGCGTGACAATATGCGTTTTGGTACATCTGTTCAAACACAAAACGCATAAAAACAAATGGCTGTAGATAGCTCATAACGAAATGAAAAAATTTCAAAATCTTGAAACGAAGTTTTCAACTTACAGAAACCCGATGGCAGTAAGGAGGAAGGACTGTGCAGCGACGAGAGGCGCGGTCGTCGTAATTCAGGCGGTAAACTGAAATTTCAGCCAGTGCTGGATCCTGTACTCGAATGTGTTGAAGCCGCGGCGTGATGCTTCGTTCGAAGCTCTAAAACTTCTGTGCTTGGCAAATGATTCATTGTGAAACAT